TTCGGTTGCAAACTAGGTGATCAAGACAAACAGTGGGCACCCCACATCTGCTGTAATAAATGTGCTTCAAGTCTGAGGAGCTGGTTAAATGGCAAAAAACGGTCTATGCGCTTTGCTGTCCCAATGGTTTGGAGAGAGCCTACAAATCATATTAATGATTGTTACTTTTGCATGGTACCTTGTGTTGGACAAGCCACAGGTATGTCCAAGAAAAAAAAATCGGTTATTAACTACCCAAACATACCATCTGCGATGAGACCTGTGCCTCACAGTGACGAAAATCCTATTCCAAAACCCCCAGAATCCTACACTTGCGAATCAGAAAACGAATCAGATCATGGCGATCGAGTGATTCGTCAGGAAGAAGATATGCCATCAACGTCAAGAGATCCTGATTTCATACCGAGCACGTCATGCCACCAACCGCACAAAATAACACAGTCATAATTAAATGATCTTGTAAGAGATTTAGAATTTCCAAAATGTAAGGCAGAGTTACTTGGATCAAGACTGCAGCAGTGGAACTTGTTAGAAGACGATGTTTCGGTATGTGTTTTTCGTAAACGCCAGAAAGACTTAGAACCATTTTTCAATATGGAGAATAACTTGGTTTTCTGTAGTAACATTAACGGCTTACTGGCGGCTTTAAATATAAACTATAACCCAGAAGAATGGAGATTGTTTATAGACAGTTCAACATTGAGTTTAAAGGCAGTGTTATTGCATATTGGAAATATTTTACCATCTCTTCCTGTAGGGTATGCAGTTCACATGAAAGAATCATATGACAATATGAAGTACCTATTGACATGCATAAAATACGATGAGCACCAATGGCATATTTGTGGCGATTTGAAAGTTGTTGCACTTTTACTTGGGCTGCAGCTAGGCTACACAAAGTTTTGCTGTTTTTTGTGTGAATGGGACAGTCGGGCAAAGGCACTTCATTACACCAGACAAAACTGGCCTGTTCGTCAATTCCTAGAGCCAGGTCAAAAAAATGTACAGCATATGCCATTAGTAGATTCGAAAAAAAATTTATTACCACCACTGCATATCAAGTTGGGCCTAATGAAAAACTTTGTCAAAGCATTAGATAGAGATGGGTCAGCTTTTCAATACCTGCGTCAGAAATTTTCAAGACTAAGTGAGGCAAAGGTTAAAGAAGGTATTTTTGTTGGGCCACAGATTCGAAATATTTTGAAAGATACACAGTTTGAAAACACTTTAACAGGTATTGAAAAAACTGCTGGAATGATTTCCGTCTGGTGGTCACTAATTTCTTGGGAAATAGAAAAGCTGACAACTATAAAACCCTTGTCAAAAATATGCTGTCATCGTATCAAAAGATGGGCTGTAATATGTCTCTTAAGATACATTTCCTACACTCACACCTGGACTTTTTTCCTGACAATTGCGGAGCCGTAAGTGATGAGCACGGCGAACGTTTTCATCAGGATATTTCAACAATTAAAAAGGTACCAGGGAAAGTGGAATCCTTCCATGCTTGCAGACTACTGTTGGACTCTTGGTAGAGATGCTCCAGAAACGATCCATAAAAGAACAGCAAAAAGACAGCGCATATAGTGATTCTTATAAGTATATGAATCTTGTTACTTTTTTTAATATATCCTTAAAAATAAAATTTTTTTTTCTAAACCGCAACTAATTTTTTTATTTCATTGTCATTTTTGGATTCAGCGCCCCAACATTAACAAAGAAGTGCACTTTTTCCACAAGATACAATTAAAAGACTAAAATTTGTTGTCCAGTGTTATGGACGTTATATTGCAAATCTGTATATTAATACCCACTTACATATGTAATTAGATTTTACATTAAATTACATTTTTGTAAAATGTTCGCTTGTTCAAGTGTAAAATAAATTTACGACGATTTTTATGACTTTTGTTTTCAATCATAGTTGGGAATTTGTTCCAAAACATTTGACTTGTTTAGAAGTCGATATTAACGTTAATATTCTATTGAAAATTCAACGCGCTTATGACTTTTTTCATGCCTTACTCATTAATGTTATTCTCTAACAAATAAATCATGGCCTCCTTAGAAAACATAACATTACGAGTGATGATATTTCGGTGATACTCCAATGTTTTCTGCACTGGTGAGACATCACTAGACTGGAAATTTTACACTCTTTTAAAAAATCCAATATGGCGGCCATAAGAAAAATGAAAGTTGAGGCGGGCTGCTGGAAAACAAAAGACGATTGGGAAATGTCATGAATGCTATCTTTTTTTTCTTAAAAGATGTCACATTTTGACAGCTGCCAAATTAACCCTTTTGGATTTACTGGCAAAAAACAAATTCCGTCATTTTCGGTTTTTCGCTGATATTGACAAATTGACCAATCGTAAATCTGAAGCCGGCTATCGAAAGCACTAAGTTTCCTCTAAAACTTTCCCCATTTAACCTTTGCTGAGGTATAAGAGGAGCCGAGATCCTGTATAGAGGAGCAAATCTGGGACACACTGTATACGAGTATGGGTACTGTAGAATATTAAAGAATGATGTTAGCATAAATATCGCGTTTCGCAAATAACGTTCTACCTAACTCTATCTACTTTCGTCACATACACAGTCTAAAAGCATTTTATATTTTCTCCGTATAACATAAGCTTGAATATGTAAAAAGCCAAACCTATATCTGGATTATCAATACACAGCGTTATTCCTCCAGTTGAACGATTTTGCCTCCATTCCTGGAATTTCCCTTTAACTGGAAAAAGTTCATCGTAAAACAAACATTGCCGTTTACGTTAGCCAGACACAGTCAAAAGTGAAATAAACTCCATTTGTTCTAAAAATACAGGCTTGAGAAGAAAGAATCGGTGAAAAACGAATTAGGGACTGCTCCAGGAACAAGGTAGTATTTTTGTAGTTAAAATCAAAATAGATGGCTAAAAACATGTTCCTGTGATAAACGAAGGACGGGAATAACGAAAAAATGCGTCGAGTAGATTGTCTGAGCACCTTCCATAGTTAAAAGGTAAAATGCTAACTATGCTAAGGGGGAAAAGCTTTGTAGTTTTCGAAAGTCAACAGTGAACACCCAGTTTAAATGGTTTTATTTTAATAAAATTTTGTATAAGTACTTAATGAAGCATAATAAGTAAGTGATAAAAATTTCAAAATGATTGCACTGCTTTAAAGCCCTTTGACCTTTAATAATGTGTGGATGCACCCTGATGTGCTACGCATTCTCCAACGCGCCTAGGCATGCTTCTGATCAGGTGGTCAATGTCCTCCTGTGGTATCTCATTCCAGGCAACCACCAACTCCTCTTGAAGTGCTTCTAGAGTCTGAGGAGGACGTTGCAAATTGAGCAATCTCCTACCCATCATATCCCACACGTGCTCAATTGGGGATAAGTCGGGAGATCTTGGTGGCCATGGTAACAATGTGACATCATTATGTTGAAAGAAGTCTATTGTGACTCTTGCAACATGTGGTCGGGCATTATCTTGTTGGAAAGTTGGATCTGCCAGGGTGTCAAGATAGGGTAAAGGATGGGGTTCTAGAACTTCGTGGATATAACGCTGCGCGTTCATGTTACCTCTGATGAAGATTAAAGGTGACCTGGAACTATAAGCTATAGCATCCCAAACCATAACTCCAACAGTGTGATGAACATGTCTTTCAACAAAAAACTGTGGATTCCTCCTTTCACCACGTCGCCTTCTAACCCTGGCACGACCATCGTGCATGCCTAAACCAAATCGAGACTCGTCACTAAAGACAATACTGTTCCATTCCTGATCCCAGAGTGACCGTTGTCTGCACCACTCAAGGCGATTACGTCGGTGTAAGGGTTAGAAGGCGACGTGGTGAAAGGAGGAATCCACAGTTTTTTGTTGAAAGACATGTTCATCACACTGTTGGAGTTATGGTTTGGGGTGCTATAGCTTATGGTTCCAGGTCACCTTTAATCTTCATCAGAGGTAACATGAACGCGCAGCGTTATATCCACGAAGTTCTAGAACCCCATCTTTTATCCTATCTTGACACCCTGGCAGATCCAACTTTCCAACAAGATAATGCCCGACCACATGTTGCAAGAGTCAGAATAGACTTCTTTCAACATAATGATGTCACATTGTTATCAAGGCCACCAAGATCTCCCGACTTATCCCCAATTGAGCACGTGTGGGATATGATGGGTAGGAGATTGCTCAATTTGCAACGTCCTTCTCAGACTCTAGAAGCACTTCGAGAGGAGTTGGTGGTTGCCTGGAATGAGATACCACAGGAGGACATTGAACACCTGATCAGAAGCATGCCTAGGCGCGTTAGAGAATGCGTAGCACATCAGGGTGCATCCACACATCATTAAAGGTCAAAGGGCTTTAAAGCAGTGCAATCATTTTGAAATTTTTATCATTTACTTATTATGCTTCATTAAGTACTTATACAAAATTTTATTAAAATAAAACCATTTAAACTGGGTGTTCGGATTTATATGTCACTTAGTATATAATGGTGGGGGATCTATAAATTGAAATAACGTTTTCTAGAGGTCTGCAAAGTAAGCCTCCGTGTCGGCGACCACCTCCTCTGCTCTGAAGTGGTCTCACGGCTGCACTTGTTGTCAAGAGTGAGAAAACGCGACACCCATCGCGCAGACAGCTTTCTCATGCTCAATATTTCTTGCAGGACATGTGCCACGCGGTACTTTGCGATGCCTACTGCTTCAGCTAACTCGTGCAGCTTCAATCGTTATCCTCCGTGGTAGCCGATTTCGGGGCACCTTGGCGTGACTCATCAAAAACCGATCTGCGACCACGTTGGAACTCGATAAGCCAATCTTTGACGGTTGGCATCGGAGAAGAGTTACCGTACACATCATCCAAGTGCTCTTCATGATAGTAAATTTCTCTTGCAATAGCAGCGCCATCGTATATGCATACGGTAGATTGATGTTATTCAGCGGAACTAATTTGGTAATATCAAACTTTCAACGTAATTATTCTTTTTTTCAGGAATATGCGCTTTGGCCTGATTCTCTTATGGACTTTCACACACAGTATAAAGGGTAAGGTAAGTCTGAATGTTCATCTCGTAAGTACAAGCCCTTTGAATTTAATAGTTCCATTCCAGAGGATTTTCTGGATGAATGCGCTCGTTTGGAATTTAGCATGTTCCTTTAAGCTTTTACAAGCATATCATGTAATTTTCTACGTTAGCGGCGAAGGCTCTTATCTAAAAGCAATTCATAATACGTTTTTAGGTTGATATATGAGATCCTACTTTTAATGTAGGGCTTTTATCTACTGATCACCCATTGTGGATCCAGCACTATTCCATATTATACAATGGAATTAATATGCCGCAGTCTCTGGAAAGGGATACATTTCCCTTTGTGTCCTTACTTTTTTGTTACGCAGTTCTTTTTTCTACACTCGCCCAAAAGCGTATTTATTGTTCACAGTTGGGCACGAGAAATTGAGGTTTGCCGAGAACCAATTGACAACCTTGACTTTGTGGGGTATCTAAAATTTGAAAAAAGAAATTGTAATACGCTGTTTTAGAACATAATTACATATAATAAGTGATATAGAAAAAGGAACACCCAAAAATAATGAATTTATTATGACAATTTTTTGTATAAATATCTCTCTTAGGATCATTAATTGATCGTAATTTCAGAAAAAACCGTTGGAAAAAATGGAAAAAATTCAATAATTTTTTGGGCCTCCACGATGTCCTAAGCACTCAGAAGCACTGGGTATAGTTCTAATAAGATGAACGACTTCGGCTCAGGCAGCATCGGTGGCCGCAGTAGTAGACTCTTTGGTCTTCTGATCAGTCGCCGTGCGCTGTGCGGGTTCGAATCATGTCCCAAGAGAAATTTTTCTCTTGGCTATGGATGTTGTGATTGTCCGTAGGTGGTAGAGGGTCTCTGACTGTCGAACGCGGAGGTACCACCCGGCGGATCTCGTAGGCGGAGCCAGAATGTGTGCATGCTGCATGCACACGTGTTCCCTCGCCAGAGTCCGTGTGGCGTTCTCCCTTTCCCCTGTATCCCCCTATAGCCTCACGGTACCCCATGGGTGTTTAGGCCTTAGGCCTCCGTGGTGGTTGGAGTATAGAAAAAGACTTCCTCTTGAGGTATCTCTTTCAAAGCTACTTGTACCTAGTGCCGAAGTACCGCTGGAGCCTGTAGATAGTGGGGTAAACAGAGTAATATTCTTCCCATAATGTGAGAGACTTGCTCAATTGGGGAAAGGTCCGGAGATCTAGGAGCCGAGACAACAAATCAACCTGATTGTCTTCGGAATGGACCAACGTAATTCTGGCTAAACAGGGTGTCCCAGAAGTCGACGTCAAGCCGAAACCGGGTGATAGGCAAAGTCATAACAGCTATCAGAAAAATATTTAAAAAAAATTTATGTATGTGTTTTGAAATTATAGGTCTTTGAAAAAAATATAGAAATTTCACACCCTACGGCAGTCTGTCAACTCCTGGTTCTACAAATATTAACTTTTTTTGGATTTTATTTTTACAATGTAATGATGAATAATGCATCTTCAAACTGGTGTCTCAACCTTACTGCCAACTTTTCTCGTTCAGGAAAAATTGACACTTATTTCCCAACCAAGTATTCCAAAGTAAAACTTTGCTCAACTTTAACTGGCTGTACTGGAAAAAAATGTACTACGAGAGTTTGGCAAGTAACCTTAAAAGTTGGCGCATTTAATAACGATTCCAAAATGGTATATCACTTAGAAGATTACTCGTTAACTTATGCACAATTTTTATTTGAAGAAAAACTGATGAAAATTTTTCTAAATTTCCTAATTAAACAGCGATTATGAAAACGCACAAGGACCCTTAAGGATAACTGTTTGCACAACAGTGGGCATCAAAATGCTGCTGATGATGATTTACCTTTACAGCAAATGCTCAAACTGTTTTCCTTCAGCCGCAATACACGCTCGACATCTTCTTAAAAAAGATCGGGTTATTAAACGAGCGAATCCACGGTTATTAACAAACTCAGCTGCTTCCAATAGTCTTTGCCGTAGCTCAGCTACATTTTGAATCGGCTTGAAATACACTTTTTCTTTTACAGTTCCCCAGTAAAAAAAATCTAACTGATTCAAATCTGTTGACCGGGCTGGCCACGGTATTGTACCAGACCGCCCTATCCATCTGCCTGGAAAGTTTTGATCGAGATACTCTCTCACTGAGAGTGCATAGTGCGCTGGGCAGCCATCATGCTGAAACCACATGTCCCTGTAAATACTCAGTGGCACGTCCTCCAATAAATTTTCTAAATGATTTTGCAAAAAACCTAAATAAACCTCAGCAGTCAAAGTCTCTGGGAACTCAAACGGACCGATTATTTTACCATTTAAAATTCCTGTCCAACGGTTTATCTTGAAGCGATATTGAGATTTATCTTCTCTCGTCAAATGTGGGTTTGCTACGTGCCACTCGTGTAAGTTATGCAGGTTGATGTACCCATCTTTCTTAAATGTGGTCTCATCCGACCATAAAAATTTTTCAAAGAACTGTGGATCTTTCCTGTGTCTTTCTAACATTGTGCGACAAAAAGCAACTGGGGGCTCATAATCCCGGGCAGAAGAGCTTGAACACGCTGTTCGTGGTATGGATGGAGCACGTTTTTTTCGCAAGATTCTATGGGCTGTACTTTTGGGCACACCTGTTTTTAGTTCTATTGCACGCAATGGAGTACTCGGGTCTTCTTCGACAGCTCCTAGCACCACGTCTTCGTAAGGAAGGAAAGATCTTCCCTCACCGTGTGATTGGTTTGGTAGTTGGCCCTCTGAGAACAGTAAGCGGTGCACATTTGTGAACACTCGATGATCTGGATGACGAGCTGCATTCGGGTACCTCTCACAGTCAAGTCTCGCTGCAGCACTAGCGTTGCATCTGCATTCCCCATAAATGAGGTGCATGTTAGCATATTCTTGTACGGTGTACACGGACATAGCGGCACTGCACAATCACACTATCAAAGATAGTCTAAGAAAAGCAAATGTTGTTTTGAAGAGCAATTAAACAGTCCAAATCCAAATCACAAGCGATCAACAGTCCAGTTCACGAATCCAAAATCAGTAACAGTACGAAATCAACAAGCACGAACATGTAAAGATGCGCAGTAAACGAAGGAATACTGATCGGTATCAAAGTGTGCAATAGCAAGTAAGTGATGTGCTTCATCCATACCACATACAGCGTGTTCAACCTCTCCTGCCCCGGGATTATGAGCCCCGAGTTGCTTTTTGTCGCACAATGTTAGAAAGACACAGGAAAGATCCACAGTTCTTTGAAAAAATTTTATGGTCGGATGAGACCACATTTAAGAAAGATGGGTACATGAACCTGCATAACTTACACGAGTGGCACGTGGCAAACCCACATTTGATGAGAGAAGATAAATCTCAATATCGCTTCAAGATAAACCATTGGACAGGAATTTTAAATGGTAAAATAATCGGTCCGTTTGAGTTCCCAGAGACTTTGACTGCTGAAGTTTATTTGGATTTTTTGAAAAATCATGTACCAAATTTATTGGTGGACGTGCCACTGAGTATTTACAGGGACATGTGGTTTCAGCATGATGGCTGCCCAGCGCACTATGCACTCTCAGTGAGAGAGTATCTCGATCCAAACTTTCCAGGCAGATGGATAAGGCGGTCTGGTACAATACCGTGGCCAGCCCGATCACCTGATTTGAATCCTTTAAATTTTTTTTACTGGGGAACTGTAAGTAACAGGAGTTGACAGACTGCCGTAGGGTGTGAAATTTCTATATCTTTGTCAAAGACCTATAATTTTCAAAACACATACATACAATTTTTTTAAATATTTTTCTGATAGCTGTTATGACTTTGCCTATCACCCGGTTTCGGCTTCACGTCGACTTCTGGGACACCCTGTATGCGTTCGTACCTTATCTTGCTGGAAAAGTGGGTTGGTGAACATTTCAGAGCGACTCTCAAGGTGGTTCAAATCTTAACTGAATACGATACAGCACGTTCTTCAAAAAGACGACTGGAGGCGATGGTAAACTTTTTTTTTGAGGTTCGCAGGACATGAAACGTCATCATTTCGCGATGAAACAGATATATTTGCTATAACGATCAGTTGTTTATTCTACGTACATAATAAAACGTTTAATCAACTTCTTAACAGTAATTCAATGGCCTGAGGGAAGAAACATAGAACTTTATCTAGATGTCAAAAAAATTGTTCTAGCAGAGTAAAATTTGAAATCGTTTGAAACTAGTATTGTGGCAATGAATGCGTTTTCAAGGATTTCACAATCGGGTATCAAACCGTTTAGAATGTGGTGCTAGAGCATTACTAACACGAAATCAATATATAATTTGGAATAAAAGTTTATTAACCCTGAATAACAGTCAAATTATCGACTAACTGTATTAGTTGTTAATCTTTTTCCAAGTATTGCGGTGATATATTATTACGAACCCCACAAACAGAGGATATTATCTATATCTGTGACAGTTTGGATTAAGGGAAAACTTTTCTCACTAATCACGGCGTAGCCTAGGAGATTAAAAACAGGGAAGAGGAAAAAATAAATAATTTTCGGGTTGCCCTGGATGGAACTTCATAAGATAGGGGAAGCCGAAACGCATATACAGGGTGTGCCAGGGAAAGCTGGTAATACTGCTGATGCGTGTACAGGGTGTTCCGTAATAAGTAAGCTAAAAAGAAGTTCAAGGATAAACTCGTGAAAATTGTGATATATGCCTAGACGAAAGATCACTCGATAATGAAATACTGAGTGACTGGATTTTCGATATAGTTCTATTTCCCATGTAACTGGCGAGGTATTGCAAATATTGTAATCGCGAGAAACTTTGAAAAAGGGATATTATGTTTTTTAGATGTGACATATACTAAGTGACATATAAATCCGAACACCCAGTTTAAATGGTTTTATTTTAATAAACGTTGGTGAACATATTTATCTTACTGTAAATAACAAGTGAAAAAATTTTCAGCCTTACCAGTTGGACATTCCGGTTTTTATACTGCTTT